AAAAAAAAAAAAAAAAAAAGGCAGCGAGTCCATTGTTTGTTTCTTTATGGGTAAATGACACCAAAATTCACCGACTTCCATTTTTACATACATCTAGTGGCTCCTATTAATAGCCTACTGAATTATTAAGAGTTATTATAATTCTGTACTCTTTTTTATAAAAGCATATTATTGGAGTAAAACCTTTAGTATTCTGTTAAGACTTCTGTTTTGGCAACACTGAAGCCCCTAAATTTATGCTCAGATAGTTATGGCTTTCAGTAAGAACTTCTAGTCAGCATGAACCTTAAAAACTATGATTGTCAGTACTCAGTAATTATTATTTACAATTATTTCAAGTTAGTACTAGTTTAGCCTTACTTTTAGCAAATTGGTAGGATTGGGGTTGTACGTTTATCACTGCGAATTAGTATCAATAGTTCTTCCTAGTCTGTAACTTACTAATCAACAATCTTTAAGGTAAATACACAATACGGAATCATGAATATCGCAGTTTACTAGTACAGTCATATGCCACTTTGGGGATCTGTTTGGAAAACAGATCATTAGGCAATTTTGTCCTCAGGAGAACAGCATACAGTGTACTTATGCAAAGCTAAAGTGGTACATAGTCTTCTATATACACCTAGAATACATCAGCTAGCCTGTTATGATCTTAAGGGATCACCATCATGTAAGTGGTCCACTGCCGGCTGAAATACTATATGTGATGCATCATTGTAATTTATAGTACTAAAATCACATATAGCACTTCATTGGTGATGTGCCGCCTGTGAACATATGGCACTTAAATAATTTACAGCATATAAAACTAAAATGTCATGAATGTTCTTAAGTTTATATTTTTTATAACATATGCATTTTAAAGGGCATATAGAGTTTCAACTCTTCAATTTATCAGAGTTCCTTCACTAGAATGTGAGAAGGTGAGGTAGGCGTGCTCAAGAGTATTTTTTTCCACGTTCCCCTTCTTTGACGAGCCTCATTCAAAAAACATCAGTGTTCAAATTAATACTAAATTCAGTTAACATTAAGAACATCTTAAAAGAGCATTTATTTACAGCTTCACTGATTACCTGAAAAAATTCTGCAGACATTTCCAAAAAAGGAGCCTCAAAATCCTCTTCATAAACTGATCTTCCTTCAAGACCTAAAATCATTAACATCTGGCAAGCATTTCTTATTGCACCTCTGTGAAAAAAAGTTAAATCAGATTCATGTATGAAACTGTGAAAGTACTAATAGGCAGAAATATCTTCAGAACATTTAACTTTTATCAAAGGGACTAATCTGCCATAAGTGACTCATTCATAACGTAAGAATTTAGAGTAATTTTTATTGGAAAGTATGTTTCACTACTCACTTATCTCCAGTTGTTCTTACTCTGCCATAACTTAAAATTTTGGGAAAAAAAAATTATCTAAGGTGTCTAAACATTTACATATATTTAAAAACACAGCAAAATGTTTATGTGGAAGCAGGGAGAAAAAGAGGAACTAGATATGGGTTAGGGTGCATAGCTGGACACAGATACAAGATATAGTTACTCCCAAGAAATAGTCTTTTTTGAACTAACATGAGTTTTGGGCAATCCTGATCAAGTGTCAAACTTCAAGTCTTCATATTATAGCTGCTCTTAAAACAGAGAAACACTGAAAGCAATCTGCCATGCTTCAAGCCACTCTAGCTGCAGCATCACAAAAAATGGCATTGCAAAAACTGGCACTGAAATCATGTTAGGGAGAGTGACAAAACATGACTTACAAAGGTCATGGTTCTTAGTCATTTAGACTGTGTTCAGTATTTTTCTTCAAAAAAAAAAAAAAGGTTAGGAATGAATACTAGAATAAAGTCCTTAAAAAAAAAGAAATTAAAATATCAATATATAACAAAAAAGAAAGTGCCAGCATAAAAAATCAAAAGGGAGGAACAATGGCTAACTGTTTTTTTTAATACATTAAATGAAAACTTAAAATAGTCTCTTCAGAAAATATAAAAAAATACGTGTTTTAAGTTAAATTCTAGGTAACTTTTTAATTATGACATAAGGTTACTACATAACATAAAGAATTTCAGTGTGCTGGATATTGCAACTTTCATTTAATATAATCAGTAAAATCTAAAACAGAGTAAAAAAATACAATTATACCTGTCTACAACTTCTCCTTTCCGCTCTCTTGCAATCATATCCAACAGAGTTTGCCGTAGGTGATCCCTAATACACCCGTAACGCACAACTTGATCTCGAAAAATAATTAATCCCAAATTGTAGACATTTTCCACATTATTTTGTTGTACATATACACGGTCCTGCAGATAAAACAAAATCAATTTAATAGGAGTGTAATTCTTGCAACCATAAATATAATTACTGTGGACTACAACAGCAAAGGAAATAAAATTCCGAAAGCTGTCATTTTTTTTTCAGATGAGAAACACTTCAAACTATCTTAAGAAACACAGAATGTTCTAAAGTACCTCTCCAGTTGTATAAAATTATAACTTAACAATTTATAATGCTCACTCTAATAATGGCTGCCTGTTTACCCTAAGAAAAAGGAAAGAAAGCAGCAAGGATTACATTCAGGGAGAGAGGTAAGAAAGCAGAGGAGAAAAGTACACAGTCAACAAGGAAGGCAGATCATACTTTTCCCTCAAAGCTATACCATACCCAAATATGATTTTTTTCTTAAATGCTATACTAGAAGAACATAGCTTTTTTTTTTTTTTGAGAGATTTTCACTGTAGGGCGCAGCGCTCGCCAGACAGACAGAGAGAGACATAGAGACAGAAAGCGAGAAATCACCCCCCAGGGGGGATGGTCACGCCGCAATCCCTTCTCCTCCATTCTCCTCTCGGGATCTTGGGCACGCACGCACACGCGCCAGGCGTGAGTTTTAAGCCACCGGGTCCGGGACACGAACCGCGGTCGACTACGTGGGAGTCCAGCGACATAGCCATTACGCTAACTGCTGGTTCCCGAAGAACATAGCTTTTGAAGTCAAACTGATTGCTAAATAAAATATAGACCTACATGACCTCAGCTGATTGCTGTTGGTATCAAAAGGATCTAATGCATACAAATAGAGTAGCATTAAGTAGCACATAATTAAAATACTTCTAGTTACTACTATCACTTCAGATTACTTACTAGCAATCATTTTACTTTAAACTTCTTACCAACATGATTTCACTTTAAAGAGCACAGGTGATCCAGAATCATTGACTACTAAAGTCTTATTGTATGCATTATTTGAAGATCCACATTTGGACCAAAAATACATTAAAATAAAACTTTGTAATGTACTTGAGAATTAGTAATAACATCTTTCTATTCTTAAAGGGTCTCTATGGACTTTGGTGATCTCTGCTAACCTAAAATTATGACCTTCTCTGTAGGTCACAATCAAAGTACTTTGGAATGAGAGCCCATAGTGTTCACCACATCATTAGGATTATCTAAAATCAGAAATCAATTAAGAACAATGCAGACATTGATCATTGAACTCCCAAGCACTGTATTATGTCTAAACGTAAATCATCGTGAGAAAACCAAAGAAACAATAAGGAGAACATGGCTCGAGTTGTACCAATGTATCTGGAGCAGAACTGATCAGCCTTCCAAATAATTTAAATTCTTTTTTTTTCTTCTTTTTTGGAGAGGTTTTTGCTATAGGGCGTGTGCGCTCGCCAGATAGAGACAGACAGTGAGACAGAAAGCGAAAAATCACCCCCCAGGGGAGGATGGCCACGCCACAATCCCTTCTCCTCCATTCTCCTCTTGGGATTTTGGGCATGCAGGCACACGTACCCGGCGTGAGTTTAAGCCACTGGGTCCCGGGAGTCTAGTAACATAGCCATTTCGCTAACTGCTGGTCCCACAATTTAAATTCTTTGTGTCAACCCTCCCTTCACCATTCCTCCAACCTTCTCCTTTCATACAATATGGCCGCAAAGAAAGCTGTTTTGTTTTTGTTCTTCTCTCTCTCTTTTTTTTTTTTTTTTTTTTAAGGGGTTTGTGCTATAGGGCACATGTGCTCACCAGAAAGATAGGCAGAGAGACAGAAAGTGAGAAATCATTCCCCAGGGGGGATGGCCATGCTGTAATCCCTTTTCCTCCATTTTCCTCTCGGGACCTTGGGCACACATGCACACACATGTCTAGTGTGAGTTTAAGCCACCGGGTCCAGGATGAAAGTCGTGGTTGACTACATGGGAGCCCAGTGACAGCCATTATACCAACTGCTGGTCCTGAAGGCTGTTCTTTTACTACCATTTTTGTGCTCACATTTTTACATTCTATTTAACCTTTCATTCTTAAAATCCTGACATCAATTTTAGTGACATCTAAATTTTCATCAATGACTTTTCTGATAAGTTCTTGGATTTTACCTCTCACCCTCAGTATCTTAAATTCTAAATTCCCCTCTGACCAACCCTCTCTCTTTTTTTGTCAAAGGTAACATGCACTCACTGGAGAGGAAAAAAAGACTGAGGGATAGTGAGGAACCACATCCCACGGGGAAAGGTCACACCACAATCCCTTCCTCATTTCTCTCTCTTCAGAATGTTTTTTTTTGGGGGGGGTGGGGGGGAGAGGTTTTGGCTATAGGGCATGTGTGCTCGCCAGAAAGACAGAGGGAGACATAGAGACAGGAAGCAAGAAATCACCCCCCAGGGGGGATGGCCACGCCGCAATCCCTTCTCCTTTCTCCTCTTGGGATCTTGGGCATGTACACATAAGCGCCCGGCGTGAATTTAAGCCACCGGGTCCAGGACTCGAACTGCGGTTGACTATGTTGGAGTCCAGTGACATAGCCATTACGCTAACTGCTGGTCCCTCTGTTCAGGATTTTGGGCATATGCCTCCAGCATGTTTTTTGAGCTGCCAGAGTGGGTCCAGGACTTGAACTGCACAGTGGATCATATGGGATCCATATCTAGCTATCTTCACCACACCACACCATCAGCTGCCCCCACTTTGGTTTGATGGCTCCCACTCTTGCTGAACCTTTTCTACTATATCCTGATTTTTACTTTTCAGCATAAAACATACATGCAATAAAAACTGGCATAAATCTAATTTTAAAAAGTAATGAGAATCCTTTTATTATTAAATGACTACTATTGCTGCTTAAATTAATCATGTTATAAATCTGATTTTTATAGTTCTAAATATTTAACTTTCTGTGGTACTAAAAAAGGACCATATATAGACTCTCTCTATCCCAATATTATCAAAGCCATTCCTTGTCAGTTAAAGACAGGTGGTAAACAGGGAAGTGAATAAACATACAAACACACTTGCATCAGGACCAGCAGTTAGCGTAATGGCTATGTCGCTGGACTCCCATGTAGTCAACCGTGGTTCGTGTCCTGAACCTGGTGGCTTAAAACTCATGCCGGGTGCGTGTGCGCCCAAGATCCCAAGAGGAGAATGGAGGAGAAGAGTTGCGGTATGGCCATCCCCCCCCCCGGGGGGGGTGATTTCTCGCTTTGTCTCTCTGTCTCTGTCTGGCGAGCACATGCGCCCTATAGCAAAAACCTCTTAAAAAAAAAAAAAAACAGAACACTTGCATCTTAAACATTTTATTGTAAGACATATAAATGTTCATTCATACATACAGACTTTCTTTAAATATGTGTCCTGTGATCAGGATTCAACACTGTTTTTCTTACATGTTCCCATACATGATAAATGTCTAGCATTCCCACTCGGTTTCACCAGGTAGAATAATCTGAATGAAAACCTTCAAGATTTTTATAATTTGTACTCCAGTGTTTTAAATTATTCACATCTAAATAAAATCAGTATGTAGTCATTTAGCTTTATGAAGTCTTTGCAAAGCATTTGATCTAGTTTGCCAGAGGGGAAAAAAATCTATTATCTTTCACATCATTTTTTCAATTTATGAAATATTAAATCATAAACAATAACTACAAGGGGTATAACAAGGTCTAAAACCAAATACAACTGCCTTTCAATAAGCATAAGGCTCAACTGCTATGAGACGACTAGAGATTATACTGAAAACCTAACATCAGCAAAAGAACTTTCTATCAGGATGTTTTACGGCTAGAAAATAAAAGCACTGGTAATTCTGACAAGTCCTTTAAGCTTCAACTAACTATATTACAACAATATGGAATATTAGGCAAATCTTACAGGGAGAATACACACACACACACACACACACACACACACAGAGCAATGTTACGATATATGCCTTAGATATGAATAATAAGCTCTTTCTCAAGAAACCAACTGTTCTTGACCTAGATGCAATGGCACAGTGGTAGTATGCTCTGGCATGCTGGAAACCATGAAGAAAATCTGGGTTTGGTTCTACAATCAACCTATACACACCAGGCATGCAAACATGCATACCTATGACCATAGCAAACTGGAAAATGCCGTGGGGAAGACCATGGCATGAGACCCTGTCGAGGTGCTTGGCATGTTGTCTTTCTCTTGGAAAGAAAGAAAACTTAAAAAAAAAAAAAAAGAAAAGAAAAGAAAAGAAAACTCGGGTCAGCAGATGGCATAGTGGTTATGACACTGGCCTCCCACATAGCCAACTGTGGACCCAGTGGCTTGAAAATAATGCCAGTCACGTGTGTGCCAATATCCTGGGAAGAGAATGGAGAAGGGATTGTGGCATGGCCATCCTCCAGGGGACGATCTCTCACTTTCCCTCTCACAGTCTCTGTCTGTATTTTTCTGGTGAGCGCACATACCCGAAGGCAAAAGACCCTTTTTTTTAAAGAGAGATTTTTGCTATAGGGCACATGTGCTCGCAGGAGAGACAGAGAGACAGAAAGAAAGAGAGAAAGCACCCCTGCCAAGGGAGGAATGGCTACCTTCTCCTCCAGTCTCCTTTAAGGATTTTGGGTGCACGTACACATGCCTGGTGTGAGTTTGAAGCCGCCGGGTTCGGGATTCAAACCACAGTTGACTACATGGGAGTCAAGCAACATAACCATTACACCATTTGCTGGTCCCATAACTATTATTTTGTAATCTGACCAGAAAAGATGGTGGGGGGCCGTGAGCAAGCTACCAAATCCAGGACTGGAACTGCAGTCAGCCTTGAGAGAGTTCAGTGCCTTAACACCACATCACCTGCCAGCCCAAATATACAGTAAATTTATATGGCTGTGCAATTGTTGCCATAATCCTTACAGGGCATTTCCATCAACCAGTAAAATCTCTTGAGCCTGTTCGCAGCCCATAGCCATTCCCATTCTGACGCCCTTGCTGTCTATAAATGTCCTTTTCTGGGGATCAGCAGATTGTGTAATGGTTATGT